TTTTATACTAGTTGCAAATTTCAAATTATATGTGGATGTAAATATCATTTATCAAATTTAAACTATACTTGGAAATGAAAAGGAAAAAGTAATACTTATAACCATATTTTCCAGATATATCTATCACCATTTCTGCTTCCAAGTTATTCTGAGAATGTCCAAACAAATGGTTTTTCCAAATGAATTCAATACTTGTAATGTTTCCAATGTTAATGTCTGCATCAATTAATTTTGTGTAACTCATGCCTGGTTCAAGTTTTTCACTGTAAACAAAAATAAGACTAATAAGCTTGCAAGGGTATTTGCAATGCTGAATGAAAGAAAACACACCTGTGTAAGTACCGTGGAAGAGAAACTTATATTTGCTGGCATTTGCTTGTAGATTTATTCTTTCCATTAATATTGATCAGTATCCCAGAAGAGCATGGTTCTGAAGTTTGAAAGAAGGGTGAAGTGAACGGAAAGCGTGGCTAGCTGATTTTTAGGGGATGCTTAGAGAGGCATTACCATGATGAGTTCTCCATAGTGAAAGATCTTTGTAGTTTCAGAAACAAGATTATTATACTGACACTGGAAAATAAAGAAACTGTCAATTTAGGACTAAATTTATACAAGACTGATCTATAAGCCAGAATCCTGTTTATCAATTCACAGTGGGGAAATGCTTCCTTTTTGTTAACCAGAATGCTCCTCTACCCTTTCCCTGGTCCCTTTTCTTTATCTGTATAAAAGGAATTGGGTAACCAAACTAGTGATCGAAAGATGTTTTGGTGATCATGGGAACAGAACACAGAGAGGGGGATTATATTGAGGCATAAGGCATATTCCATCCAAGCCAAAATGAAACTTTATAAAACGTTTATTCCCCACAATGCAAAAACTCTTTTTTGTGGTCCAGATTGCTACTGGCACCCAAACCAACATCTCTTACTCCTGTAAGGGTTACCTGACTCCCGTTTTCTATGACCGTTGATACCCATTCACCTTCTGATGATACAGTCCCTTTTTTGGTTGTGTCAGTAACATAAATTAAGCTATAGTTAGTAACTGATTAAGCTACAGTCCAATCTAAATTTGTCCCACTGTTGTTCCCTGCTATATCATCTTGCCTTATTTTCTTTCTAACTTATCACTATTCTTTTATTAATGAATTGTTTGTCTCCTCTAACTGCAATATAAGCTCTGTGAGAGAAGGACCTGTATCTGTATCCCGGCAAGTAGAACAGTTCCTGGCACAGCATAGGCACTTACGTGTTTGTTGAATGAATAAATGAATGTTGCTGTCCCTAGGGTCTGTCTTACTGTCTTACAAGTAGAATTAATTCACTTAATTACCAGAGGGCAAATTTTCTCCCAAGTTCTTAAAGGTAATCTTCCTATCATTCCATGAACTGCCTTCACTCAGCACCCATACAATGCAGCCCTTCCCGAATGTGTCCTTAGAAGCCCAATTAACTAAGCTATAACCTATGGTGAAGCTGGACAAAAATAGGAATAGATTAACATACAAATTCATCTAGCTGACTTCATTTCAAGATGAGAAATTTGCTGTGAACCTTGAATACTTAATTGTCTTAAAAAGAGGATCAGGCAACTATGCAACATTACACACAGCTTCTTTAGATGTTACCAAAAGAAGAACGGAGATGTGGAAACACTCCCACAAATCTTAAAAGAGGCACAAACTGCATATTCATCACCACCTGCCCAGGCCAGGTGCCTTTGTGCAGGGCACAAACCACACAGCCTTACCCATTGTGAGCCTCAGAGCCACAGGGACACTGTTGTGTTGAACTATTCTCAGATGGATGCTTAACGGAGCCATGAAGAACAGTTAGAAATGAAATATGTTAAGACAGGGAAAAGTGTTTGGAACAAAGGAACAGCCTCAGTGAAGTCTGGAAGAGAGGAAAGGGTGGGATCTGTTCAATGCTGGGGAGTGCAGACAGTGTAACCTCGTTGAACTGGAGGTGAACAAAGCCAAGTGGTGGGAGACGTGGCTAGAAAGGTGGGCGGGGGCCTGGGCACCCCAGGATCCAGATGATCACTGACTGAACTTATGCTCACAGGCAGCTGCACTCAGGCAAGGTTATGTACAGAAACTCTACCAGTGATTCAACGGATGCATCCCAACTGACAAAATAACCACAAAATCTTTGCTTTTCGTGCCTGTGCCCAGTATTTGAAGATAATGGAAATCATAGAGATAAAACACCTAATCCATTCATCTGTTTGCAAAATGGTAGCAACTAATTAGTATGTATAATGTTAATTCTGAAATAAATTACAGAATTAAACAATGGAAGTGAAATATGTAATACAGAAATGCTAAGGCTGATCAAATACAAGATTAAGGAAAACTTGAGATAAAAGGAGACTCTAGCAAGAGATACACAGTGAACATCTGTACTAGTTATTCTGACCTTTGACTGT